CACATTCAAATGCAGGCAGTAGTACCTGCTATTTTGCTACAAGTATGATGGCAAACACAAACAGGAGGCAGGGAAATGAACTCATCATTTAGTATTCTTAATTTTGAGTAAGGTAATTCCAGAAGCGTGCTCCAGTGGCAGTAAGAAACCTGAAATATTTTAGGTTTTTGCAGTGTATTTTTGCAGAGTATATTTTACGTATTTGCAGAGTCTCACTAAAGGAAGACACAGCTCTAGAGATCTTTCCAGTACCAAATAAAGTTCCGGAAACAGAGGGAGAATCAGGAGGACTCATGTCAGGGCCCATCCCTGACACAGGTGCTGCTATACAAGTGTTGCATCAGAACAGCATGGGTGACCCAAGACACAGCACCAGTTAACCCAAATCTCTTTTAGATCACTGTGAGACCTACTCTGAAAACTGCACGTACACAAGCCTCTTGCCTATTCTGACTTCTTTATTTGATTAGTCTTGTTAGAAGTAAGGTCCACCCAAATGATTACAGTCATTAAAGATGAAAACCATACACCAGGGAAGAACCACTTTGTAAAGAACAAGGTAAGAATGTCAATAATCAGCTGATGGGCTAGCTTCATTCAAACTTGGGTAGCTGTTCTGCCTTCTACCACTTCTATCATCGATAAAAGACTTAGCTCTGCAACAACTTTTGGAGCACTTCTTAGTATACAATTGATTATTGCCTGTGATTTAAGGTAGTAGATCTGGTTCCTTTTCCTCTGTGACCACAAAAGACTACATGACCAGGACACACTGGTAAATGACCATGGCACTGCCATGTCCACAGAACCATCACAAAGTAAAACACCATCGTAGCATTTATCTAAGTAGCCACCCTAAATGCAGCCATAGGGAGTGGAAATTTGTCAGTGAAATGTGAAGACTAGTATGAAGCTCAGGTTTATCTTCCATCGCTTCCTCTCAAGAGCAGTTGTGACTTTTTGGAAATGGCAGTATTGTTTTGGCACCACCTGAGACACATTTATTACATGGAGCCACAGGAACTCTATGATGCTTGCCCCTGTTGAAAACTAGGTACTATTAAGAAAATAAAACCTTTGAAGGCCATTAGACCTTGACCTCAAACCTTAGGAGGAAGGCAGAAAAATCAGTCAATGAAAGCCTTTTCTGCCAAATGTTTCACAATTGCTATGAGCTGTCTTATAAAAATCTATCTTTAGCCAAAAATAATGTGGTGGGGACACAGCAGCACCATGTAAAAGCTAAGACTGGTGACTGCGTATTTCCTGTGCTCTTATCCAAGCACAACAAATTGATAACCTGAGTTTTTACCTGGAAGTTAGAAGACTACACCAGTATGTGCTGTTCAAGGTTCTGCTGGAAGAAAGAGTCTAATTTATAACCAACACTGCATAAAGTTAAATCGGTTTACTAGTAAAGCCATATTTTACTGCAGAATAGTCTATTAAAGCCAGATCAGATTCTGGGAATTTCCTCCCACCAAATCAATTTTTCTGACAGGAACACTGCACTGATACAGCCATTCTTTTGGCAAGAAAGAGGTAATCATGCTCTGTTTAAAAGCTCACAGCCAATTTAAATACACAGCAAATTTAATGCAAGCCCCCTGCAGTTTTAATGATTGACATCCTCAAACGACGTCAGTCTTCCAAGATAGCCACATGAACTAAGAGGATCCTCCCACACGAGCACAGGTAACTGCATTTCTCCCCCGCTCTCCCCTCCCAATCACCCACACACTCATAGGTCTTTTCCTGCACAGGGTGCAGCACTACTGCTCTTCCATGCTAAAAGCCACAGCCCCTCTTCCCCACTACTTCACATTTTTCTTCCACTGCTTTAAGCCTTGATCTTTTATTTTACCTCTTTCAGTGCGCTTCATCTTCTCTTGGCACATCTTGGTAAGAAAGCCAAGAGTTCATTAGTCCCCTAGTTGCCTGTAACACTCCACAGCCATTTGTGTGCAATCTCTTTTTCCACTCTTCCACAGTGGAGAATGCTTTTGACAAGCCATAATTTAACTGTGTTGGATGTCACTGAATAAAGGATAAAATTTGGCAAATACTGATGTTGCTTTTATCTAGGGCTTTCATTTCTTATTGTGCCAACCCTCCCTGAAACTAAAAGGGAAATTACTTTTTGCATGTTTGAAAAGAGAATGGCACAAAAGCACGGTAACATCTGTGCTGCAGTTATCTCTGCAGCCCCTGAGCTGCACTGGCACTAACGTGTGCTATGCATGATTTTGAGTAGCTGCACAACCACTTGCTGCGTTGCTTTCATTAGAGATCATGAAAATTTCTCTGGTGACTCCACAATCCAACAAAAAATATTTTTTTTTTTTCCCTCATCTTGCTCACCTGTCTTTCCCCTTGGGCTAGAATTTCCATTATGTTAGAGAGACTGACTTATTTGCTACTCCATTTCCATCAGTGCAGCTCATAATAGAGGCAGGACATAGGAATTCAATAACAGTTCCCTGGGAAATGGGTATAAAAAGGGAAAATGTTGCAGCCTTGTCCTGAACGTGAGCAGAAGTCTTAAGACGTTTGAAGTATCTAAGACGTACCTGAACAGACAGGAAACCTTCTCCAGAAGTACCCTTAAGTCGATGCTGATTCCCAACATGTGCAAACCTTGCTCCTTCCCTCTACACACTTGCCCCCCATTGTTTCTGCTTTTCCCTTCTTGCAGAGTCTTCCTCCACATGGGCTTACCAAATCCCTGGCACCAGCCAGAACTGATCAGAACAGAACAAAAAGAACTTGGCAGCACTCAGGACTAGCATTCATTCACTTCAAAGCACAATGAATATCGATTAATTAGCCTCATTTTTTACTATTTTTTTTTGGTGCACTTTTCAATTAGTTGAAAAGAAACTCCAGGAGATCAGCAAAGGGTAATGGAGAAATCAGTGCAGCTTTTACATACATCAGGAGGCCTTGCTGCATAATTTAGGCATAATACAATGCACTTCAGATAGACTCACACATATGCTGAGATAGAGCAAAGTTCAGTTTTCAAGGATCCCTTTGTTCTTTCTGTGGTTACCTAGCCCACGTTCTCCTCAATCATTCAGCTTAACTACATATTTTAATTCTATCCCTGAGTAAGTTACACTCTTGGCTTTCCATTTCAATTTCCACTGGGTAAATAAAACTGATGGAAAATGTTTTGACAAGGGTATTGTAGCCTGAGATAACTCCAAATCTGGATATTACATTTAATGTTTCTGGGACAGATGCTGTTAGGTCTTTCCACAGGAATGCAGCATCATCTGCATGTATTAGTAACTTCTGTGCTTTGAGCTGTGTATGCTTTATATCCTAAGTTTTCAGAAACACTGCTGACAAATTAACACCACCAGGGCACCACAAACACTTTTCATCATGAAGTAGGGGAAAGGATAACTGTGGAAGCTCATGAACAAAAGGGTAAGAGTACCTTACACATTTCTTCTTTCAGCAAAGGTGCAGCAGAAACACACTATTCTGAGGGCAAACTGTCCAATTCAATCCTGCTCTTAGTCACAGAACCAAAGCTACTGCTCACAGTCAGCAGCTGCTTTTAGGGAATTATGATTTTCTTCAGTGCAGGTGCCATATTTCTGAACTCTGCTCAGTGCTACAGATCCTATGGATGGGACCTTTCCAGCAGCGACAAAGCTCAGAGAGGGACAATTGTAGAATGTTGCATGACCACAGGTGTACTGACAGAGAACTGATGTGACTGCAGAGTTGATACTCATCAATGTAGCAAGGTGAGCAGAGAATGAAGAAAATGAAAAGTCAACTGAATTTGTCAGAGACAAAAGGACGTTCAGTCACAGCTGTACCAATTATTTCTGAGCTCACGGCAACAGAATCACTGGAGATTCTCACATAGAACTTCTGCATTTCCAGCATGGTTACATGGAGCTCCTCACAGAAGACCTCAGGCAATCAAATTTATTCCTGCCTTTGTTAACAAGGTGCAGAATCACCAGTTTGGTAGTTTTTACAGTTGATATTCTTTTGTATTAAGAAAAAAATATATTAAATTTGCATTGACAAATAACATTTGCAATTGCAAAGAACTTATAATTACGTATCTAGACAGAGATGTATACACAAAAGACATGTATTTTTACATGATCGACTAATCTACCTGAAAAAACTCTGTTCTTTAGAACATCATTCCTTATAAACAATTATTATAAGCTACAATTGGGAAAAAGACTCCTCTTTGCTCAGAGAGGGATGAAAGGGCTCCATTCTACTTCAAGAGAAGCACTCGAACTAATATATGCATCGTTACATTATCCACCCACAGGCATAATACAAGCACTGCTGGATCAGAAGCTCTTACTCCTAACCCACAGGCAGTGCAGAGGAAGACAGTTTGCATGTGCATACACATGAATATCTGCACAGATGTCTACATATTTATCCATAGCAGTGTGCTGCAGAACTGAGGAAACCTAAAAAATTCAGCACGTTCTCACTGAGACTGTCTTTCCTTATACACCAGAGACAACATCATTAATTCACATAACTTTTATTAATGCACAGGATAAAACACTCCTCCATATTGTCTGTTTTGCTTGTCATTGACTGTAATTCTGTAACAAAACTCCCTAAATACTGTGCTATTAGTGCAGTTATTAACCATTCTGTTTCAAGTACGGGCTCCAGTGCCAGCAGAATATACTGTATTATGCCATAAACCACTATACAGGCCTCTACTCTAGCATATCAATCATTTAAGAGCATCACCTTGAAAAGAGTACAAAGCTCCCTTGATTTTGTAAGGGCTTCACAGAGGCCCACCAGCTCACATGAGAAGAGTCATTCTGTTACTTCAGTTAAACTGTCTAGATTGTTCTTCATTAGGGAGCAGCTGATACAAAACTGCAATGCTCTCCAGTTGCCTTGCACTACCTTCATATACATATACTACATTAGAAATAAAAATTATTTATCACATATCCCTTATAAAAAAATAACAGGCACCAGACGGACTATGCTTTCTTTAATTTAGCTATGTACATTGGGCCCCATGTTCTCCCCTTCTCTGGGAGGACCATAAGTTCATGCCGTTGTGTACCACTGAGAAAAGTGAACTCCTGAGAAACAGCTTTGGCCATTTCACTTATGTCTACAGGCACAACATTACTACAGGAGTTTAGAATGAGATTTATTACATCGCTGTTTTCTGCCTTTGAGAGAGTGCATGTAGAGTAGACCAATGATCCGCCAGGACGCAACGCTTTAAGAGCAGACCTGCAAATAACAAAAAAGAAAATTCAACATAAGAAGTGACATATTAGGTGAATTAACTTACACATTTGGAATTATAAATAGGAATAAAGAAAGAGGAGAAAAATAACATACACTGTTAAGACCATTTCGTGGTAATTGACAGTTCAGGAAACTACCTGCAACATATTTTTGTTTTCTCATTTATTAATGTATTCTCAATTAATTGAAGGTATTTCTTTTACAACAGTGACAAGGAGAAAGCAGCACCCATACAGAGTTGTAGAACATTCTTCAAACATTTCTATGTGCAGCATAACTGAAAATGCTGCAGCTGCGCATACAAAATGGGTTACACCACATCAAAAGTGTTAGGTTAGCTACTTAGCTAGCTGCTTGCATGAACAAATTTCAGAATGTACAGTTTTAGTAGTAATCTAAACTAATTACAGACTGTAATTTCACAAGTATCTCTGCAAATTCTGCAATTTATTTAGCAGCTAAGAGGACTTGGGAGTTTCACTGAGCCACAACTTTTCAATCTGATTTCTTAATGAAATATGACTTATTGGATAATATTGTCTGTCTATGTGCCCTTCATTTTTTAACCTGTTCACAAATTTTGACTAAACAAAGGCAGAATAGAGGCATAAGATTTCATGTATCCTGAAAGCTTAATAGCCATTGATAGATGGACAGAACAGTTTTTCTCACTTCTCCACTGAAACAATATTCACCAATTGTAAATTAAAGGAGTAAGGAGGAAAGTCCCAAATCTTGCACCACAGAAAAGCATGTCCCCAATCTGGTGCCACCACATAACTGAAAGAGGAAGCTACACTAAAAGTTCATTTGCTATTAAAATGCTCTCTTAAGGGAATATCTTTTAGTCACATACTTTGTAGCCTTCAGGGACATAATGGCTCAAAGGCTGAGTTGTAAATTAGTATTCAAACATAATCTCACTGCTTCTGGAAAACTGGCTGAAGCAAATGCCACATTAAAATATAACTGTTCCCTAAATAAAACTTCTTTTGTTTAAAAACAAGAGAATCTGAACAGATTAATGCTGCTACTTAGCTTATGCATATCAAAGAGGCAACAAAGTAGGTGCTTAAGGGGCTGCAAGTGTGTCACTGGGAATGCAGCAGGCACACAAGAGCAGGGAAGATACTGGAAGCATAAACTCATGGAGCACAGTGACACACATAGCCAGGCTGTATGGAAAGACACTGGATTACCTTTGATTGGTAGATAATAGTGACAATACTGCACTGACCCCCCCCCGCAAAAAATCTACAGGGAAAAGAAATAAAAAACCCAGCAAACCCAAGAAAAAAAAACCCATGTCCTATAACCAGATGAGGTAAACAGTCCCCAAATGCAGTGAGCCTGGTTCCAAGCCCAGACAAAAAATACAATTCCACTGAAACAGCAATTCTTCAAGAGACAAGCTGATATTCTGCTAAGGGTGGTATCTGAACAAAAAGAGTTGAAAAAAGTAAAGGAAAATGTAAGGGGGAAAAGACAAGTCCTTTTAATAGGATTGGGTCTTTTCAGGAAAGAATCAATAAAGAAAAGCCTCATCAGAAGTGAGATCAAAGCAGATCACAGACAAAACCTACTCCAAAAGTCCTGTCCAAAGTAAAAAGGAAACATCAGGACAAATTACTGTTTTAGACATAGATAACACAAACTCCATTCACCTTCCCATGTGAATACACCCGTGTATTATACCAAATTTCTTTCTCTGGGGATTGTACACTGTCAATGAGTCTTGTTTACATTAATCAGCAAGCCAAGTACATATTTTACCAGAGTCTATACTACTCCAATTGTAGTCAGCATAACATAACAAAGCTCTTTCAACTGATGAAGCTCAAAGAAAAACAAAAAATCAGTGTTTAATGTCTTTGTTGTATCAGTCTTCAATAAAAAGATGGAGAGTGAGCAGATGGCTAGCACATTTAGCCTAAGTGAGTGAGCAATTCAGGTTCATCCTGTCATAGGTAAACAACACGTTACAAAGCACTCAGGTCGTTTAAAAACTTTCAATATAACTGGGCCTAACAGACACATTCTAGGATGCTTCCAAAATTAGCTAAACCCATCATAAAACTGCAAGCTTATCTCAGACCTCTGAGTAGGTTTTAAGAGTCTGCAAAATTGTTTAAGAATGCTTTAGACACAGGTTGATACAGGACATTTGCGATGTCACCTTGAGACAGCAAAACAGAGCAAGTGTCAACCTAACATCCCTTCAAAATCTTATTTTCTGAACTTCCGCAGTTACCAGCACACATTCAAATTGTCCAGCTCCAGATATTCATCCTTCCACCCCTCTGCATCCCAATACACAGGTACTCCTTAGCAGGCTACAGAAGCACCAGTACTGGACTGGAGACCCTAAGCTGTCTCCACTGTCTCTCCAGCTATCTTTCTTGTTTGCAGTTGTCCTGCTGTAGCTGCACCTGTGCATTTAAACGGACCAGGATCTTGTGGCTGCTCTCTGGTCTGCCTGAGCAATCACAAGACACCTAGATATATGGAAGGTAACTACCATAAAGCAGAGCAGTAATGTACAACCGTTCCTTCTCGTGAAAAACAAGTTGGCAAGAGAAGTCCATACTGATTCACTGTCTCCTTGGTCTTAGATCCATTCTGGAAAACATAAAAGCATTCCTTCCCCCCATGCAAAAGTTGCCTACTCTCTGGCTTTCACAATAAAACTCAAAGAGAATTGGATTGAAGTCCAGATGGCTTCTCAGCACTATTCTTCTTCACAGCACTATTAGAAACTACCTACTTTACTTTTTCATAGTATCTCCACCTCCAGCTATACCTTTTCTATGCATATGGCAACATCAAGCCATGAGAGGGGCAGCTAGATGGTGTAGAAACATGACAGTGTTTTTTTGAATGACAATCAAGTAGTACTTACAGCATACCTGATAACTTTACTAATAGAAGCAAGTAACAGCAACTGCTTTCTTATCATAAGGTGGATACTGCATGAACATTTAAGCAAGTGTGAAAAAATTTTTACCATGTAAAGGTAGAAAAGATAAAAGGTGAAGTTAAATGCCCATAAAGTACATAAGCTGTAGTTTACAGGGTTAAAATCCTGGATGTTAAGTGTCCTTTTGTTACCATCTACAAAGTAAAAAAACATTGAAGACAACACTTTCAAATGCACTGTGCTCTCAACACTGAGTCACTGGGGCAGTGATTCAGAGGAAAGAGCAGCACAGGCTTCTGAACAAAATCCTGAAAATCTCACATCAAATCCCCCCTAACTCTAAGCCTTCTTAGCTTAAGAATCATCACTGGCCTATGACCCAAAAAGGTCAGGCTGCTCCCTGCAGCTATCTTTATTCTGAACCTCAGTCATGAATTAAAATATCTAAGGAGGATTACTTTACGCTGCAAGGTCAATCAATGTATCTATTCATCTTGTCAGCTACAGCAACAGTTGTTTCAGTGGCCGTGTTCAAAGTCAACTGACTGCCATCCCTGATTAAGCTGTGCTTGGCTTTTGATAAACTTGCACTGAGTTGCAAATTTCAAAGTGAAGAAGTGCTGGGCTCAAAGTCACAACGTGATACTTCACTGGGCTAAGCAGATTCAGGGAGTTTGGTCCTCGTCATCAGCATGACATTCATTCCTAAGAGAATCTGTTCAAATAAATTTGAAATACTTGGGTCCCTCTATAATCAATGGAGGGAAACAAGGTTATCCAAGAGATAAGCTCAGAGCTGGAGCCTAATTATAGACACTTGGAAGAACCCACCACTCCTACTATGACTCCACCATCTAAAAAGGTAGAGATTCCTCTTATGTTAGGCATCTTGATTATCCCCCAAGTCCTTACTTGAAGCTTGGTTCTCAGAAGATGCAACTTGGTGCCTGTTACAAAATAATTTGTAACTTTCAAAAATGGGCTCTAAATCTAGAGAGATTAAAAAGGATGCTAGGGCAAAAGACCCTAAAGTATCTTTTCACCTTTCTTTTATAATACATTGCTAAAAAAAACGACAAAACATTACTTAAAGGTAATTCATCTGCAGTTACTTTTTTTCTTAGCAGTAAAGATGACTTTCATGTTTATTAAAGACCTAAAACTTTCAGTTTAAATATAGATCTAGTTATACTTTCATAATTTTAAATTCTGGTATATACATTTACCAGAATGAATTTTACAAGGTACAGGCACTAATACTACAAAGTTTCAAGCTTTATAGGGAGAAGCATAAAAATACACATCAAAAGCAAGGGAAACTTTTCCTAGAGCCTCATGATTTGTTCACCTTTCCCTATAATAATTTTTGGTTTAGTAACATGACAACACCTTAGTACTTGCAATCAAGACCCTAAAGCAACACCACCGTTGGCAGCCAACAAGTAACTCCAGCTTTTATGTTGTATGCTATCATACTAAACCACTGCAGAAGTGTGAGTTTGTTGTTTTAGTGCTTTAAGATAGCCAAGACATAGCAGAAATAACTACAATTGGTGAAATGTGCAACATACCCTATTTACCATGTCAGGCTTGCATACAAGATATCCAAGGTTAATTCTTCCAAATACAGAACAGTATGAAAAAGAAGCAATTACATCCTGGAGCAGCAAGTACTATCACATATTTGTTACAAGACAACATATATGCTAAATGAAAGAAAAAAGTCAAGCTCTTTTCTGGGGTTCTGAACACAACTTTATCTCCTATCACAATTCAGGAGACTATACTGATAATAGTCCAAAATTTTAATGATATTTTCAAATCCTCAATAGTTTGGAATTAAAACAGCTGGAAAACTGCAGGATAGAGTGAGATTCACTGGCCCATCATTCTACAGAAACTTGAGTCTTCTCCACTCTTGCTTGAAAGTATTGACATTATCATTTTATAACCACCAAATCCACACTTCTGTAATCCAAACAAAAGGGTGGCTGATGCTCATCTCATTGAGAAAGTACTCTAAAACAATTCAACACACAGAGATTACTCTCCTTTTCATTCTAAA